GAGAGAGAGAGAGAGAGAGAGAGAGAGAGAGAGAGAGATGAGCGATACAAGATTGGCTGTTACGTACCTGTGAAGTTGCTGCGCAGTCCGCGAAGAAGAAAGACAGCGGCCATAGCCGCAGAGCCTGTACCACGGAGTGACAAAGTAGGAGGGAGAAGGACAGAGGGGGAAAGACAGAGGAAGTAGAAGAGCGGCCATAGCCAAGCGGTGAAGAGGAGGCCGATCAAAAAAAAAAAAAAAAAGAGAGAAAGAAGAAGAAGACAGCGGGGTGAAAGGAGGCGAGGGAGGTGAAGAAGAAGAAGAAGGTTGGCGAGGAAGGAGACCTGACAGCCATAGCTGACCGGAGGGTTGACCAGAGGCGTTGACCGGCGTTGGCCGGAGTTGACCGAGGGTCATAGCAGCGTTGACCGGTGTTGACCAAGACCGTTGACCAAGACTTTGACCAAGCTGGAGTTGGTAACATCTCGCCAAGCCCTCAGCCTATCCCTTGCCCTATGGATGTGCACACACCCCTCGGTACTTGCTGAGTCTAAGTCAGTCTGTCTATTCTTTCAGCATTGAGTCTCTTCTGTCCTAGGTCATAGTACTCTGTGGATGAAGGATAGGGCTTGGATGACGAAACCCTAGTCTGACCTTGTAGGGCTAAGGCTGTGGCTGATCCAACTTTCCAGGGGGGCATAACCCTCCCAAGGACCGGTGCTGACCGGCTGGAAACGGTTGGTAGGACTCAGTGGGCCTGAACGACACTTAGGGCTGACACATCAGGCAGTCTTTACGTGTTGAGGGCCTGTTTGGACCACTCCCCTACCAAACCAAGTAAGGCTGAGGATCTGTGTCTGACGACTCGACTGTCCCGGAGGTCAAACCCTCCCAAGGACCGGTACACACCGGCGGGCTGCTCGGTGTGGCACAGTAGGCCGGAAAGGCTGAGTTGTGGGCTGAAAGCACAGGCAGAACCAAGCTGATCACGTCGTCCTGTCTGCGATGTTAAAGAATTCTTGAGGAGTTACGGGGGATCTCCTTAAATGCCTCCTGATCAGCCACTAGTTCAGTAGTGACAGCCATAGCATAGGTCTAGGCTAGAGACCATAGTTGACAGGGTCCTTGTCAGGATTCTGTTAGTCTTAGATTGAGTCCTAGGTTGTCAGTCAGGGGTCAGCGTCTACGTGGTGAAGTTTGGAACCACTAACCTGGTTGTACACTTATCACCATGGTTGGGACCCGTAGTGGATTAGAGACTAGCCCCTATAGTAAGGAGCAACAAGAAAAGATGGTCGCCTTAGTCCAAGAGAACAAGGAGAGAAAAGAGCGTGAGAAGCAAGCGAAGCTAAAGGCTATCGCAGACGAGCAGGCGACAAAGATGAAGAGATTGGAGGAGGAGATGAAGAGAGTACAACAAGAGGAGGAAGAAAGAAGAAAAGCTGCTGAAGCAGAAGCGGCAACAGAAGAAGAGAAAGAGAGAATGAGGATTGAGAGTGGAGAAGGAAGCAGTGGTGGCACGATGAAGAGGGAGACAAATATTGAAATGGAGAAGAAGATCAGCGAGTGGGTCACTAATTTATCGTTGGGTGAAGAGGAAGAGGCGGAGTCCTACGTGACTGAGGATGAGAGGGCTGCGCTAGCCAGTGAGCTAGCATCAATGACAGATCCGATGGAAAGGCGAGAAAGGGAGGAGGAGCAGAAACTGGCATGGAAGTTGAGGATGAAGCGAGAGAAGAAGAGGAGGAGAGAGGAAGTGAGTAAAATGACTGCAGAGGCAGCGAAGGTGCAAGCGTGCAGGCAAGAGGTGTTGGCCGAGCCAGATGATAAGGCCAAGTGGGACAAGGTACTGGGCTACCTAGAGGTGTTGAGCAAGGCCTGGATGGAGGAGCGCCTGGCAAGTTGGAGCCAGGATGTAGCGTTGAGTGCCATGCGGTCCGGTTTCAGGGATTTTGCGCGCAAGATTGTCACCCATATTGGGGGCGAAGTCAAGCAATTGAGAGACAATGTAGGGAAGTTCTGTGAGGGCGCCATTCAGGGTGCCAAAGCTGTAGCTGCTGTAGAGGGAGAGGCCAGACCCCGTAAGGACCCAGTGAAACTTAAGTTCCCAGATGCGTATGGGGGAAAGAAGGAAGAAAACTTTGACAACTAGGAAGCCAGTGTCAATAGTTATATTTACTTACAACACATCTTGATTGAGGAACAAGTCCTCGTGGCCTTCCAGGCCCTCAAAGATGAAGCGACTAGTTTCGCCAGGTCTCTTGCGCGTACAGCCGGTTGTGAAAACAACCTGGTTGCATATTCCAAAGTCACCCCTCTTTCCCAATTCCTCAAGCTCCTCAAGGAGCGTTTCGCCGACCCAACGCGAGGCATTAGAGCCTCTGATAAGCTGCAAACGATCCACTCACGGCAGTGGAGGAGTGCCAGGGCACTCAAGGGTACCATGGACGACTTAGTGGCCGTCCCGGACCATGGGGTTACTGAGACCCAGTTGGTCCAATTGTTTTATCGTGCCATACCAGAGGCCCTGCGTGGGCATTTCTTTGACAGGTCGTTGAGTAGGGAAGTCGTCCTGTATGAGTCGAAGTCCATGCCAGTTACCATCTTCTGGCACAAGGACCTGGAGAAGGGGAAAGGGTGGAAAGGACGTACCATCTCTGGCCAAGTCAAGGCCAAGGATCATATGATCCTTACCTTAGAGGAAGGTGGTACTGATGAGGTCCCATACAGTCAGATAGAGTGGGGCCTCAAGGATGATGGCAGTAGTGTGGGGCAAGGGAGGTCCTATGCTGCTGTCGCGGCTGGAGGGAAGCTGCAAGGTAGAGGAGGAGGCCAGGGCCAAAGGGGCCAGGCCATGGGAGGCCGTGGGCCGGGCGCACAGGGGGTTGGCGGACAGGGAAACCGCCAAGCGGGAGGTAGGGGTCAAGGTCCCCCGTTAAATCGCCAGGGTAATCAGTCCCCACAACGAGGAGGTGGAAGGGCACCTCAAGGAGGATGGCACCCAGGCTTGCCACAGGGCAGGCCCTGGGAAGACTTGGGCTTGGACCAGTGATTATGGCAGGAACGCGTGAACATGGGTCAGTGCGTATTCTGTGGTGACCCGGCGCACGTAATTAAATTTTGTCCAAAGTGTAGACAGGCCCGTTGGACTGCTCAGCAGTCAAAAGGCAGCCGCCAGTAGGGGTCGCAACTGCCCCTACTTCMAGGCCATGTGGAGAAGTGAGCGTGCGCGAACAACACACTCCCAACCCACATGAGCCTATGGCAGAGGTTGCAGGCCCGTGCCTAGATAGCTGTCCAGAGACTGCTTGTGTTAGCGTCTCTTTAGGCACGTCCCTCACAGGTGTGGCAGAAGAGTTAAAGGAGAGGATGCCAGCCTGGGCCAAAATGAAAAGGGAGAGTAAGGGACAACTGATTTTGGTAGATGTAGAGGTGTTCAGAAGTAGGGTAGGGGCCCTTATAGACTCAGGGACTACCCGTAGTTACATTAACCGTAGGGCGCTGAAGAAGCTGAGGCTAGGACTAAAGGTCCAGAGGTTAGTAGATCCCATAGTCAGTGTCCTCGCAGACAACCGGACGATGCGCGTTGAGGACTACGTAGAGGGAGTCCAGGCGTACTTTCGCCTAGAGAAGAATGAAAAAGTGGAGAAAGTCCTTCATTCTTTGACTCTCCTCGTACAAGATGATCTTCCTTTTGATGTAGTTTTAGGAATGGATTGGGGAGAGGCAGCAGGGGCCACACTCCATTTGAGAGAGCACGAGTGTAGGCTCCCTAGTCCTTCAGGCGAGGTTAAGATTGCCCGCTTGTTCCATGTGTCTGGTGTAGACAACACCTTGGCACATTGCTGTCTCAGTGCTCCCGCGTTCGCGCGATTAGTTAAAAAGGAGCAGTTAGAGGAACAAGTCTTTGTAGTCTATGTTAGACCTGTCACTGAGGCCCAGGAAAAGGATAGTTCCACAAATCCAACAATTGCCAAGCTGCTGGAAGAGTTCAAAGATTTGACTGAGTCGCCGGCCGGAGTAGTGCCGCGACCCATCCAGCACAGGATAGAGATAGAGCCTGGCAGTAGAACTCCCAAGGGTGCAGTCTACAGGATGTCCCCTAGAGAATTAGAGGAGCTTGTAAGCAGTTAGACGAACTCCTGGAGAAGGGTTGGATCAGACCCAGTTCGTCTCCTTTTGGAGCACCAGTCTTATTTGTCCCCAAGACGGAAGGTGAGCTTCGTATGTGTATAGACTATAGGGGTTTAAACGCGATTATTGTAAAGAATGTTGAGCCACTGCCCAGAATAGATGATCTTTTAGATCGGGTGCAGGGTTGCAAGTATTTCTCCAAAATCGATATGAAGTCTAGATAACATCAGATAGAAGTCCATCCTGATGATCAGTACAAGACTGCCTTCCGGACTAGATATGGGCATTATGAGTTCATAGTGATGCCCTTTGGACTAACCAACGCGCCAGCTACTTTTCAGCGTTGCATGAATGATCTGTTTCGACCCTGGTTAAATAAGTTTGTTGTAGTATATTTAGATGATATTTTTGTTTTTAGTAAGACCCTCCAGGAGCATCAGGGTCATCTGAGGCAGGTCTTGGAGAAGCTTAGAGAGGCTAACTTCAAGATCAACGCGAAGAAGTGCGAGTGGGCCAAGACGCAAGTCTTGTACTTGAGCCACGTATTAAACGGAGATGGCATCAAGCCAGAGGACAGTAAGATCGAGGCGATTAGAGACTGGCCGACGCCCCGCACATTAACTGAATTGCGGTCGTTCCTAGGCTTAGCTAACTACTATAGGAAGTTCGTGAGAAACTTCTCCACTATCGCCGCTCCCTTGCGCCGATTGCTGAAGAAAGAGGCAATCTGGCAATGGGACAAAGACTGTACGTCTGCGCTCAAGAAGCTAAAGCGCGCGTTAATAGAGTATCCTGTCCTCAAAGTTGCAGATCCGTCTTTGCCATTTGTCGTCACCACGGACGCGAGTCAGTATGGGATAGGCGCCGTGTTGCAGCAAGATGACGACAATGGCTATAGACCCGTAGAGTTCATATCAGCGAGGATGCCCTGTGAAAGGGTCGCTACCTCCACGTACGAGAGAGAACTCTACGCTCTCAGGCTGGAAGCACTACCTGCTTGGGAGGCACTTCAAAGTGTATTCGGACCACGAAACGCTTAGATGGTTAAAGACTCAGGCCAAGATGACACCTAAGTTGACTAGGTGGGCCGCAGAGATAGACCAATTCGACTTTGAGCTCAAGCCAGTGAAGGGCAAGTACAACGTAGTTGCGGATGCTCTGAGTAGGAGATCAGACTACTTTGGAGCCGTAGTACACTATCTGGATATAGGGAGAGACCTGCAAGAGAAAGTGAAGCAAGCGTATGCACAGGACCCTATCTATAGCGACATCCTAAAGAGAGTTAGAGAGGCCCCAGAGACTGAACCAGATTACCGCACTACAGATGGGTTGTTGTTCGAGAAGACTAATGTGTTTGACTGCCTGTGCGTCCCCAACAGCGAAGAGATTCACAGTCTAATCTTAGGGGAATGCCACGATACTAAAGGGCATTTCGGTTGGCAAAAGACATTAGCCAACCTGATGTGTGCGTATACCTGGCCAGGGATGAAGAATGACTGCATAGAATATGTCCGCAATTGTAAAGTGTGCCAGAGGAATAAGTCTACTACACGCGCGCCCCTAGGTCTTCTCAGACCCTTGCCTATTCCGGATCAGCCGGGAGACTCCGTGTCCATAGACTTCATGGACACCCAAGTCAAGAGTAGACATGGTAAGAGCCAAGTCATGGTCATAGTTGACCGCTTTAGCAAATATGCAGCTTTTATTCCTTTGCCTGCAGAGGCACGTACAAACTTAGTTATACAGAAGTTTTTTGACTATTGGGTTAGTGAGAATGGAATCCCATTGTCAATTGTTAGTGATAGAGACAGTCGCTTCACCAGCCAGAACTGGCAAGAACTCATGAGAGTCTACGGATCTAAGTTGCTAATGTCGTCTGGCCGTCACCCAGAGACTAACGGTCAGACAGAACAGTTGAACAAGATCCTACAGCAAGTTTTGCGCGTGTACATCAGACCAGATCAGATTAACTGGGATGAGATGTTGCCTAAGGTAGCTAGTGCATACAACAACAGTGTGCATCTATCCACCTGCCGCACTCCCAATGAGTTGCACAAGTCCTTTAGACTGCGCAGACAGTTCGAAGGACTGAACCGGGATGAGATTCACAGATTACCGCCCGGTACCAGGGAGTTTGCGATACAGCACGAAAAGGAGTTAGCCACTGTTGTTGAGAACCTTCGGAAGGCCCAGCAYAGAATGATAGAGCAGGCTAACAAGCACCGACGCCCATCACAGTTTCAAGTAGGCGACTTAGTCTGGGTCAAGGCAAAAGAGTTTGCACCGGAAGAAAACATCTCGCAGAAGTTACTGCCTGCATATAGAGGACCGTGGCCGGTTCTAGAAGTCAAGGGCGGAGAGGATGGACCGTCCTACAGCATTGAGATTCCAGCACACCTCCACACATACCCTGTGTTTCATGCTTCAAAGTTGCTGCCGTGTGTCACTAGTCAACAGTTCCCTTCCAGGAGATCCATGATCCCACCGGATATGGATGGGAGCTATGACATAGAGGGCATTGTAGAAGAGGATGTGTTTACGACAGGAGGTAGAGGTTGTCCCCAGAAACAGTATAAAGTCCGGTTTCCCTACCAGGAACCGGAAGACGACCGCTGGTTCACGAAAGCAGAACTTCTAGAGACTGCTCCCGACATAGTCAGAGCCTATGAGCGTGACAAGAAAGGCAAAGGTCCCGCCTTGGACTGAAATGTTCTCGGAGGACCTCGAATTTAGGACGGCGGGAGTGAAACGGTTTTCACCTTTTAGCAGTAGCAGATGCAGTGCCCAGGGTTCGATCCCTAGACCTCACCCTACCTATGTACAGTATCTGTATAGACCACGAGAATTGAACCTGTCACCTGTGTATTCGTAGACAGTTGGTAGGTCTGTCGTAGGTCCATAGGCAGCAGGGTTTCGATCTGTAGGTCTATAGCGTAGAAGTCTTAGTGAGTTCCGAAAGCTTAGCTGTAGACCTTCTAGAAGGTAGGCAAGTGGGCAAGTGGTCAAGTGGCGAGGCAAGTGGTGGACTAAGCCGCAGTGCAACAGCAGTACAACGGCGGTAGGATAGCGGTGAGTCCACAGTCAGTCAGCGGAAGGTCCAGTCAGTCCCAGTCCGGGCCAGCAAGTACCACGGGGGGACTGTGAGCACCAGGGGCCGATGGCAAGGGGGAGACCAACGAGTTTCTGAAGTATAAATCAAGAGGCAGCGCCCAGCCATTCATTCATTCCTGCGTGAGCCATGCGGAAGCGCTGCCACAGCGACTTGTGCAAGGAGGTCTGCGGATGAACCCGGAGGACGCAGTGGGCAAGAGAGAGGGAGTTAGCATAGTGATAGGTTAGATGCAGCGATAGCTGCCATAGCTGTAGTTAGTAGCGA